ATCCAAGAATTTTTCTCTTATTGGATCGAACACCCCTCGCTCTGCGAGAATCTGAGGTGTCAAATCTTTCGTAATAATTATAGAAACTTTTTTGAAAATTTCTTCATCCATGATTTCTTTCAATCTACTATCATCTTCCATTTCCAGCTCTTCGGCTTCGATCTCTTCCGCATGCAAATATTCTTGCGTTTTTCTGGCTGACGAAAGTTCGTTATCCTTAACAGTTGCAATGGGCGTGCTTTCTCGAAGAGGCAATTCCGAGACAGTCGCTCTCGTTCTCGGAGATGTTTGATCCTGTATTTCTGCTGCGATTGATTTTTTGCTTTCTTGAGGTGGACTTAATTCTTTCTTCGCTGTGACAAATGATTTCACAGATATACTCGGCTTCGTTTCTTTAGATTTGCGACTTGAAATTGCGTCCACCACTGCTTTTCCGGCCAGAACCGGTGCAGCGACGACCGCCAGGAGACCCAGTTTCGTAGCTTCCGCTATACTGATCGATCGATTTTGCTGATCTCGCACGTTCTTCATCTTTCCTGTGACAGGATCGAGCAAGCCTTTCTGAATTGCTTCCTTGGTGGTGATAGATTCTTTGGTTTTCACGTTATAAAGCACAGAATCGGGTTCGATTAAGCCCGCCTCCATCGCTTGCGTCAAGTTGTTACGATTCGTTCGTCTTCGGTATCTTTGAACGTTCCGCTTTTTTCATCGTAAATTTGCTCGACCGCTTCTAAAATGGTCAAACTGTCGTTAGACGATTTCCTGGGCGATTCGCTCTTGCTGGAAGTGTCGAGAATTCCTTCTTCGACAGCTTTAGCGATCGGCATTTCTGCGCCGCTGCAAGGATCGGTGTAAATTCCCGTCTTCATATCGACGAATCCTTTCTCCACCGCGTGATCGAAGGACGTCTTAATATCTTTCGTCGTGAATTCCTGCTTGCTTTCCGATTCGTCCTTAATAATGCCTCTTCGTCGAGCCTCTTCGATTGTAATAATATTTCCGGTGTTTATATCTTGCACCTCCATCGCGCTCTTCAACGCGTAGCCCGGCCAAAGCTCGACGGTTTTCGTCGTGATCGTGTGATACGACGTAATCGTCTCGGTGACGGCAGCTACAGCGTTGCCGTCGGCCGGCGGTTTGATGATAAGCAGGCCGGATTCGACGGCCTCCGCGATGGGAATCGGAGTGCCCGTGGTAGGATGGAAAAATACAGCGTTGTCTCTGTCAATCAATCCCGATTCCAGCGCCTGCGTTATCTCGATACTTTCGGGAGTCACCGGGCAAGGTAACGCCATAATAAAATCTCTCTTGATAGCGTCCTCCAGCGGCAAATGCTTTCCGGTGATCGGATGTCGAAGTTCCTTCTTCTCCGTGTCTATCAATCCGCGTTTCAACGCGACCGGAAACGTCATTCCGGCCGGCGGTATATCGGAGGGCTCGCTCGGCTCTTTCAGCTCGAACACTCTGTTTTCTATCGCCTTCACTAAGTTCACGCTACCGCCTTGCGTCTTCACCAACGATTTATCCGCGTCGATCGTGTCGTTCGCGATGGCGGACTGCAACGTTTCCGTGCGACCGTCCACAAACATCAAGTTGGACAGAGGATCTACTATTTCGCACACGATAGCCTCGCTGAGAGTAAGATGCGCGCCTGTTTCCGGATGAACGATTTTGCCCTCTGAAGGATCTAATAAGCCCTGCGTGTATAAGCTGTTCACGGAGAGACTCTTCGCTAGAGGCACTAATATATGCGCGCCCTCCGGATCCAAGATTCCGCGATCGATGGCTTGCTTGATGGTGAGCACGTCGCCTCTCTGAGAATCCACGATTTGTCCCTGATCGGCGTTTATTCGATCATCGCGAATGGCTTCCGACAAAGTAATCGACTCTCCTTTCTCGTTGCACATCTTCCTCGCGAAAGTATCCGCCGTCTCCACGTCGATGAGACCGCTCTGCAGCGCTTCTTCGACCTTCACTATTCTCTTGCGCATCTTCTGGAGAACGATCGGCTTCGCCTCCCGCTCGGGACTCTGCGACACGGTCGCTTTTCCGATCGTAACTTGATATCTCGGCTCGACCGTCACTCGCGCTCTGGTTTTCGTGCCTAAACTCTCGCCGTCCGGAACGTCATCGGTGGACTTCCAGTCGCTCAAAACTGCGCTCTTCGCGTCTTCCTTGGGCGCGTAGATTTTTCCAGATTCATCGTGTATCGTGATTTGCGCGACAACTCTTTTATTCTCATCGTCGGGCGTGCCGCTCGCGGATTCAGTGATCGGCGACGAAGCGTCGTCCATCGGAATAATCCCGCGCTCGATGGCGACTTCTCTCGGCACCTTTTTACCGGTCGCGGGATCCTCAACCATCGTCCTCTGCACGGCTTCTATGGCGGCGGCGGTGGCCGCGAGCGGAGCGCCAAGAACCGCTATCACGCCGAACTTCGCCGCGTCGATGAGCGATATCTTCCTGCCGTCGTCGATCTTGTATTCGCGCGTGTTCGTGTCGAGAATGCCGCGATTGACGGCTTCCGCCATGCTGATGTCTTTGCCCGTCGTCGGATCCTTGACGATTACAGCGGAGTGCGGTATAGTGCCTTCGGAAACGGCTTGCAGAAGACTCGCGGATTTGCCGGTCTTCGTGGAGATCACCAAAGCCGTCCCGGGATCGTAAATCACACCTTGAGTCACTTGCACCGGATCCGGCATGGAGATTTCGGCATCGCTGGCTTTTATTTCCGTCTGCTGCGAAAGATCGCCGACATGCGTCAATTTCACTATGTCGGGCTTGCCCGAAACTCTTGTGATCTGAAGAAGCCTCTGATTAGTATTGTCGCCGTCTTCGTTCGATTTGCCCTCCAATATAATCAATCCATCCGCGATCGCTTCCTTCATCGAGATCTTCTGCGGAAAGCTGTAATGGCCCGTCGAATCTAAAATATTTTTCTCCAAACTTCGAACTAGAGATACTTTCCGGCCGTTATTCGGATCGATAACGAAGCCGGAATTCGGATTAATAATCTGTAGCTTAATGCATTCTTCGAAGGAAACTAATCTGTCGGTGCCTGGAATTATAAACAGACCTGTCGTGGGATCGAACAGCTTCCTATCGATAGCTTCGGCGAGCGTCCAGCCGTCCGCGGGCAATTCGAACACCTGTTTATCGGTGGAAGCACGCTCGCCCTCTATAAATTTCGTGATCTCCGATTTGTGGCTTGTGATCGGCGCAACCGATGTAACCGCTTCCGTTTCCATATCTTGTTTCTCGTCGAACGGAGACGACTTAGCGCGACTTACGTGTCTCTCCTCGAACATTTTCGACATTTCAGACGTCCACTTGGTCGATTCGCTGACTTTCGTGGACGTAGACGCGATCGAATCTCTCACGGAAGTAACGGAATCCGTCGGTGAAATCGTTATCGTAACGGAGGACGATTCTTTCGTCGGCGTGGACGACGCACGTGGAGTTATTTCTTTTGTAATAATAGTAGTAACCGTTCCGATTGCTCTCGGTGGCGATTCGCTTCTTCTGCTTCTCGATACGTCCTCGATATTTGCCATAACCGTGCTCTCGAAAGTCGTGTGCGACGAATCTGGAGTGCGTTCTCTGGACGAGTACACGACGCGCTGGCAAGCGTCGCCGCCGAGCAAGCTTTGCTCAACGGCGTCTTCGATGGACATCGTCGCGCCCGAGTCGGGATCTCGGAATTCATTTCTACTTTCGTCGATCAAGCCGCTGCTCAACGCTTCCTCGTAACTGACTTTGTAATCTCTCGTGACGACTTCGCCGGTTTGCAGCGTCGTCATGTACCGCCTGACGGTCTTCGTTACGGTCTGCGTGGTCACGGCGATATTGAGCAAACTGGTGAGCAGCGCGGCGCCGTCGGGAGTGATGAGCCCGCGCTTGATCGCTTCCTCCAAAGGCACTATTCGCTTGCTACGCGGATCCAGCAATTGGCCGGATTTCGGATCGAGCAAGCCGAGCAGCACGGCTTCCAGAACGCTGACCTCGCGTCCGTTCTCGGTGACGCCGATGCCGCGGTTCAGCATCTCCAGCACTTCCGGCCGAATGTAGCCTTGCTTTTCCGCTTCGCTCAGCGAAACAGTTCTTCCAGTGTTTAGATCGACGGTGAAAGTACCGCCGGACTTTGAACTAATCAGGCCCTTCAGCAAAGCTGCGTTCAAGCTAATATACTCGCCGGAGACCGGATCCTTGAAACCGTCAATGTCGAAGATGGTTTTCTGCGTCACAGATGTGATGAGACCCTTCTCGACCGCTTGAGGAATCGGATATTCTTCGGCTTTCTGCATATCGCGATACGTGCCTTCGACTTTAATTATTCCGCCGGTCAGAGCGTCGTCCAGCGTGATCATTTCGCCGCTTCGAGTGTTCACTATCGACTTGACATTCTCCGAATCTAGAACGCCGTGAGATATGGCCTCTAATATGGTTAATTTTCCGCGATGAGCCGGACTGACGATCTTGCCCCTGTCGTCGATGATTTCCAGGTCGCAACAATCTTTCAGCGTCATCGGCTTGACGATCAGCTGCCGGCGACGAGCTTCTTTGAACGGCAATTTTTCCATCGACAATCCGTGCATGTATCTGCCGCTCTTGGCGTTCAATATACCGCGATTCATGGCTTCGGCCACCGTCACTTTCGTGTCGTTTCTCGCGTCCACGATCTCCTTCACGCTCGGATCGACGATACCCCTGTCGACCGCCTCGTCCAGGAGATACGACTCGCCGGTGATTCTGTCGGTGACGCGGCCGGACCGGTCGTCCACGAGACCCTGCGATATCGCGTCGGACAGCGCGACGGCATTACGGCTCACCCTAACCGTCACGTCCACCTTGGTGAGGTAACCGCGCGAGTACGCCTCCTCGATCGAGATCCGCTCGCCGTTCTCGGCAACGACCTCGCCCGTGATCGGATCGAGCAGGCCCTTCTTCATCGCATCGACAACGCTAATCCCGCCGCCGTCGTCGCGGCGTGCTGTCGTTACCTTAACACGATCGGCGATGTCGGACCGCTCGGCATCGCAGAGCTCCCGCTGAATCGCCTCGAGCAGGGACACCCGACGGCCATCCTCCGTCACCCCGCATGGACCTAACAGCCGATCGGCCAGCGCCGCGTCGATCACGCCGTCGCGCGCGGCCTCCTCGATCGACACGCTCGTCCTGCCGTCGCTCGACGTCACTATCCTACCGTTCCTAACGTCGAGGATCCTGAGCCGGATCGCCTCGCCGACAGTCAGGACCTCGCCGGTGCTCGGATCTACGATACCCCTAACGTCGATCACGTTCTCCGCGCCGGTAGCGGCCCCGTCGTCGATGCGCGGTACCCTCCTACCCCTAAACTCGCTACTAAAACTGCTGTCCACGACGGACGTGAAGTCTTGTTGTTGATGCTGTTGATGCCGCCGACTGCTGCTCGACGCCTCGTTCTCGTACGAGCGCTTGAGCAGGCTGCCGCCGACGGGTGAAGCGGCCCCCGGGCTGGCGGTCTCGCCGTTAGAACGATACGCGGCCTGCTCGCGGCCTCGCCTCGAGGTCTCGCTCGAGTAAGTCGTCTCGGTGGACTCATGCCTCTCGGAGGTGTATCTGCGGCAACAGCCATTGAGAGGCGTAAACGGGGAACGGAAATGCTTTGCGCCGCGTCGCGAAACAATTTGGACCGACAACTTGGATCTATTTTTCTAATTTTTCGAAAGTGGTCTAGAAATAAGCCGTTTGATCGTGGAGTAAGCATAGAATTTTCTACTGCTCCGGGTGCGCGATACTTTCAATTTCTAACGTTATACTCACTGCGACTGGGTGTAGTGAGTGGTCGTGGAAGTATAACGCTCCTCGCTGGTAGTGCTTTCGTATATGTTGAACTCTGTGCGGAACGTCCGCAGCGGCCTTTGTTCTTGGAGAACACGCTGAAAGTAGAGACATTCTGGCAATTGCAGCGAACATATTCAATCATGCGATTTACGTAATATATGTTCGCTATATGAGAATCTGCGTAATTACTTTGCAGTCGCAATTTTCGTTTTCGATAAAAGCACGATAGAAAGTTAAATATATTTTTTATGATAATATAATTATATAGAATTAAATTTTTATATATTTCCAATATCCTTTGTAAGTCTTCGTTGAAGTAAGATTCAAAGCATTTCTTAACAGTTCGTCAAAAGAATTGGCTAATACGAAACGTCATCTTTGTCCTTCCGAAGACAAATTTGGGTCAAGTCGTCGATTAATTCCTAAATCGGATTAACGGCTACCCACGCTAGAATCCGCGACGTAAACCACGGATTTCTCGCGTGCATTTATAAATGAGTCAACCCGCGCGACGATGCACGACGCTACATGCGCGAAATAGCGTATAATTGGACCACGTGCCGCGCGAGATCTCTCGGCCGAGACGGGACTCTTAAATATAGCGGCGCTCACGCACGCGCCGAATACACGTTGCCACTCTTACGCAAAATTCTAGCCGGGTCCGACGCACGCCTTGCTTTTAATTACCTAATTCCGAATGAGGTACCGCATACCGAAACACGTAATTTCGGCCGTGATATACCAACGGCCTTGTTTTACAGATTTGTAGGCGTCCATGGGACTACGTCATCTTGCTTATGTCATCGCGAATATGAGAGGCTTGCGTCCTTCTTATTGTCGATTCGCGAACACAATATATGGGAGAACACGTGCGATCTGATATGAAACGGGAAACAACTCGAAATTTTAAATCTAAATGAGAAATGATTCATTTACATGAAAGCTTTATTGTACAAAATTTATCTATTCACGTGTTCATAAATTTTAATGTGAAATGGCAACTGAACGGTCGGTTTAATATTGAACGTCTGATATTGAACTCGCGATACGAGTCGAAATATATGACATAAATCGCTGGGCCGACTTTAAAACCTTGAAAGAATTTTAAGAAATCGTCTTGCCGTCTCGCAGATAAATTGGAAGATTATCTAAATTGCTCGAATAAAAGACAACGATTTTATGTCTGTTTTATGTGTTTGCAAAACTCACTGCAAATATTTCCATCTCTTTGATGACGCTAATTGCGATAATTTATAGCGCATGGATAAAGCAATTGATTTCAACAAAAAAGGATCGACATAACATCAATGACAAACGTAAAAAAATTATAATAACCGTGAAACAGTCCGTGACAGATCTGTACCGTAAATCTATCGATCGAAGAAATTATATCTGATTAATGTGAGCGCCGACCTTCGGCTGACAATCAATCATTTCTATGCTATCGATTATGCGGTTACGAAGGTGCAAAAGTAAAAGTATATTTTCATTTACATTCATTGTCGCGTGACATTTGCAATTTACACACGATGT